ATCCTTTAGAAAACAGAAAAACAAATGATGGGAGAATGTGAACAAGAATTTTGGAGGACAGAAAGCAGATGGGTGAGAGAAAAACTGAGCAGAGTGTTGAGCTACTGGGCTGTGGGAAAGATAGCAAGTTGATGTGTTCTCAGGCACCACCAACGCCTCAGGAGTGGGAACAGTGGGGTTTTTGCAGGGAGGGCTGGAAACAGGCACATTAGCTGAAAGTGTGTTAGAGCAACAGACCCATCCAAGATGACAGGTTTCCTGCAGGCAGCCTCCAGTCAGAGTTCCTGAGGCCCAGTAAAGGGCAGGGGAGGTGACAAGGAGGGTGTCCCAGGGCAGGGAAGGCCTATAGTGAGAGAAGGATGCAAGTTTGCAACTGAACAGTGAGAGTATGAGAGCATGGCCGCATGGCTTACTACCCCCTGCCTTAGAGCTGGGCCTCAAAAGTAACCTCACAAGAAAGATGGATGTTAGACACTGACAGTGAGGGGGACCCTGTTGATAAGTTGGCTGGGTGCTTTGTCACCTCACAGTGAAGCCCCCTAAACAACCAGTCCTACCAGCAAGATCAGGCTTAGTGCCTCCTTCTTAAATTTGGCTGTGCAGCCAAGGATGGTCCCACATAGGCTGAGTCCTCTAGCATAAAAGCTAGAGACCCAGACACATGGAAAGAAGGGACCTGGAAGTCATGGACACGGTTAGTCTTGTTTTTTTTTTTTTAAGCACCTTGACAAATAAGTAAACAAACTAACAAACTAATTAACTTCCAGGTGTTAACATTATGGCAGCCAAAATAAAACTTTCAATAAAAGAAATAGAAGAGTGAAAAATAAATTTTCAGAAAGGAGAACAAAAAGATTGGAGAGAGAAAAAGTAAGAGAATCATTGTTAGGAGCTTAAGAAAAAGAAAAAAGAAGGGAGAGGGCTGGAGGAGGAGTAGCTCACATGGTAGAGCACCCGTCTAGCAAGTGCGAGGCCCTGAGTTCAAGCCTCAGTACTGCCAAAACAAAACCCCAAAAAATGAAGGGAAGGAGGGAGGAAGGGGCAGAAAAAGATGAGAGAGAAAATTATACAGAAAAAAAAAAAACCTTCTGGAACTGAAGGCATTTCTGCATTAAAATGAGAGCCTGAGTGGACCCAGCACAATGAACAATAAAAGGCCCCACTATGGGACAGCATCATGAATTCTCAAAACTCCAGAGATGGAAAGAAATTATTAAAAGCCAGAAAGGAAAAGGCCCCATATGGAAGACCAGAGAAGAGAATGGCATTGGACAGTTCAAAAGCAACACTAAAATCTGTAAGACAATAGGTTAACACATCTAACCTCCAAGGGAGATTAATTCCCAGCCCAGAATTCTGTTTTTGATCATTCATCTAAGATAGTACATGTAAGACAGTTTGGGGTTTTTTTTTTTTTTTTTTTTTTTGGCTATGCTGGGATTTGAACTTGGTTTTTGTCTTGCAAGCAGGCATTCTACCTCTAGAGCCACACCTCTGGTCCTTTTTGCTCTGGTTATTTTGGAGATGGGGCTGGGTTGGCCTTGAACCATGATCCTCCTGATCTCAGCCTCCTAAGTAGCTAGGATTACAAATGTGAGCTGTGCCTGGCCCTTTGTACCCATTTGTGAGGAAGCTCTTAGAAGATATGCTCTGCTAACATCAGGGAGTAAACCAATAAAGGAGAATGAATGGATTCAGTGTGCAGTTGTCTGTCATTCCCATTTGGCTCAGCTGTCAAATGGCTTTCCATGTTTCAGCTTTTATCTTTGAGTCTTGGGAGTGAGTGAAAAAACAATAAGAATAACACTATATTTAATTTTTGTTGCTATAACTAAATGCTGGAGGCAGACTGCTTACAAAGAAAAAGGTTTACTTAGCTCACAGTTTTATTAGAGGCTGAGAAAGTACAAGATTAGGTTGCACCATTGGATCAGCCCCTGGTGAGGGCCTTATGATGAATGGCATCATGGGAGCAAGAGCAAGAAGAAGAGATCCCATGGCAAAACTGGAAACCAGAGGGGGGAGGGGCTAGGTTCAGGCTTTTATAACAACTGACACTCATAATGACCTAGGGACCTCCCATTAGGCCCTACCTCTTACCATCATCACATTGAGGACCAAGATTCCAGTATATATATGGGGACAAACCAAATCAAAACCACAGGAAACACCTACCCCACCACGAGAACTAAAAAATTCTGCTAAGTCTCTCTTGTAGCCAGGACCAGTGACTCACCACTCCACTGGGCTCCACTGGTGAGATGCATCTGTGTCATCTTTTGACAGTGAATAGGAGAATAAAGAATGTGCTCTGTGCCATGACTATGGTGGGAAAATAGTGCTGGACTGAAAGGTTGATCTCTTGGCACACAAGTGTCAGGGGTACAAACTGGCACCCAGCACTCAGTAGAAATTTTGGTTTTGCCATCAGACATGATTCTGCATTGTGGGGTCCATATAATGTACTGTAGTTGTATTTATTGTGTTCAACTTTTTGTTTTTACTGGAGTTGATAGTTGCATTGTCTTTTTGTTGTTGTTGTTGTTGGGACTGGGGTTTGAACCCATGGCTTCACACTAGCAAAGTAGGCACTCTGTCACTTCAGCCACGCCTCTCGTCCATTTTGTTCTAGTTATTTTGGAGATGGGAGTCTCATGAAATATTTGCCTGGGCTAGTCTCGAACCTTGATCCTCCTGATCTCAGACTTACAAGTAGCTAGAATTATAGGAGTGAGCCACAAACGCTTGGCTTGCCTTGTCTTTATACTTGCTTTGTTTTCAATGTACTAATCACAAATTCTTCCTAAAACTCTCTAATAGAACTATGGGACTTCTTATGCAGTAAGTGTGTCAATAATCTGCGAACTACTGCTCTGATTAATTAGTGAGAGTCAGCTTTGGTTGGTTGGTTAGTTGGCTTTGGTTTTTGTGCTGGAGAATGAGCCCATGGCCCCATGAATGCTAGGCACTAACCACTGAGCTACAACGCTACTTTCCTCACATGCAACCAAGAACTGACTAGCTGAGGGAATGCAAAGGGAATTCCCATAATGACAGTGAAGAGAAAGCCCAGGACAGACCAGTGTAGCTGGGCTATGTACAGAGCAAGATAGCTGAGAATCCAAGAGGCATAGCTCCCAGAAAAAAAAAATAGCTTATGGGTTAGCTGACACATTTGTTATATTGTGAGGAATTTTATAGTTCTGTTGAGAGTGTGGTAGAGTTAGTGATTTGTACATCAAAAAACAAAGAAAATAAAAAATTACGATAAACAAAAAGTTGAACAACAGAAGAAATAAAATCATAGTAGCTCTGGGCTTAGCTTTGAGTACTCTTTACAGTCATGACAGTGTAGATGCTGAAGGTTGACTTAACAGAAAATGGTCACACAGCTGTATTTAGAACACGAGGAAGTGATTATGCATGTTGATGTGTATGACAGCACAGGTTCATTTTCTTC